ATTTTGAACTGTTAAATCGCTTTTGAAATGAAAGCTAACTGCTGTCGCGGTTTGACGATCTCTTTGATTCACACACATACTCACACCCGTTGCAGTGTATCTACTTATTTTCAAAGTAAATTTAGTATTATGTATTGATTCAAAAAATGTTTTTTATGTTTTGGGTCTCTTATACAGATACTTGTGCTACTTGATAACATTTAGTCAGCAACATCAAAATACCTGGTATTGTGATAGCTATATACACCCACACCCAAGTAGTTGTCCTATTAACTTTTGACAATAATATTTCATAGTAGGAGATATGCTACCATAACATTCTTCAAATCTTAAGTAATTGATAAGATTACTTAAGCGTAATCGAAACGCGTCTTTCTAGCTTTGGATTCTTATAAATATCTTATTATTATAAGATCACATCCCACATTCATATGACGGTTCATTCTTGTTTAAGAAGTTCATCAGATATACTTAGAATCTAATATGACATTTAGAAAAATGAAAAATATGGAAGGAGAAACAAATGAAACACAACTTATTATGCTAAATAAAAATAATTCAGTACAGTAGTGAAAAACTACCTGATTTAAAGTGATGATATTTTAAACTCGAAAGAATATAAGTTAATTCAAACAAGCATCGTTACTGATCCTAGATACTCTATTTTCGATACATTTTGGAAAAATTCAGATCTATTTAGCAAGCATAAGCCGACTCAAAATCATTTGATGAAGCATATGGATTTTGATGTTAGTAACATTCAATGACATTGCTACTCCATATGTATTAGAATTTCATACGATTCAATAAGAAATGAGTATGAATGTAAAAAGAAAATACTGAATAAATGTGATTGAAGAAGTTTATAGTGTCCAGTTGTCATTTAAAAGTAAGAATCGATCTAGCAACTATTCTTTGGACGAACATTTGCTTGAAATTGACCTTGATAATTTCCCGGTGGTGTATACTGAGCAACAACATACACAGCACCCGTACTACTACGAGCAACACCAACACCAAGTTTTTGTGAACCTCTCCAAACGACTTGTGTGAAGTGACCAGTAGCCATAGAAAATCCTCCCCAATTGAAGTTGTATTGACTTACTTCATCATACCAGCTTTTTACTGCAGTTGCACCTATAAATAGACAACATCGTTCATTATGATAATATTCAAATGCTTAAAAATAACTTTCCATTAATATTCATTGAGCCCCAACCCATGTACAAATTTTCACCAACACCTCGTATTCCGCTATGTTGAAATGAATTGGTATACGCAAGTGTGTGAGCATAGTTTTGAGCCGATCTGCTAAGAGTATCATCAAGTTGAAGAGGATTTGCACAGTGACTTGCACGATATTTATTATGTGCATCTAGCATCTCCTTTTGGAATTGACGCTGTGACTCTGTGAATGATTCTCGTTTCTGTACTAGTCCATATTCAAATTGATCAGGTTGAAGAGGTTCACCAAGATTTTTGCCTATTTCCTTCACATCGAATTCATCTCGAAGTGCCAATTCGTCCGATTCCGAGTCAGAATCATCAGCAATCTGAACACTCTTTGCATCGATGGTGAACAGTATTGCGCAGAGCAAACCGAAAATAAAAATATTAGTATATTTGCACATCAGTTGCAGTTCGAATAAATCGATGAATGTGAGATATCCACCATCGAATACCATCTATTTATGGGACCTTATTACTTTATTTTTTATTCTATTAGCATCATACTCAAAAATTCATGTTCTTAAACTAATATTGACAAGAACTTAAATAAAGTTTGTTTGACGACGCTAGTTCGACTACATAAGCAAATCATTTCTATCTGTATATTTATTATATCGATGAATCGAAATTCAGTATTTCTTTTTCACATTGGAAATAATCTATGAAGAAATATACATATCCATTAACATAAGGCATCTGTGGACTGTTTATGTATATAACTATATTTTTTGTATGCAACAAGTAACTTCTAACGTTCGACAGGTTTCTCTATTTAGTTATGGTTCCATAAAAGAATCTCAAGTTTCTTAACTATTTACTCAAGAACTAATCGATATTTATTGATATTAGAAGGCCAAGAAATTTTTCACCTTACTTAAACTATATACAAATCATTGTGGGAAATTTATATACTTTTAATCGAATTGCAGTAAATAGACGGGATGGGTGTGGGTGTGAGTATGAGCGTAAATGTTTATCTTGACTATTATGATACCCACACCCACACCCACCCACACCCACACTCACACTCATACCCACACCCACACACACCACACCCACACCCTCACACCCACACCCACACCACCCACACACACACCCACACCCACACCCACTCGCCCACATCCAGCCACCCACATCCACACACCCTCCGATTTGTGGGTTTTTTTATTCGTTTCGGTCTCTCTTCTAGCCTCGATCTTATGTTCAATAAAGGTACATTTCTATCGTTTCGCTCAAACAAATGTTTTGAAAAATGTCAAGAAATTTTGAAAAAGCATGGAATATCGACAAGTGTGATTGACGTTCGTTTTTATATATTTTTAAAGTGAATGTTACATTTCTATGTAAGAAAAGAGATGCTTTCTAAGCGAAAAAGTAGATGTTGCTGGAATTAGTAGTTTCAAATGAAGATGTTTTTAAATTCATTTGAATCTCGATTTATAGCTGCAGAGAACTCTGTTTTGGTTTGCACATCTTTAAGCTGCATCGAGTACAAAGAAACAACATTTATTTACTGTTGATGGTGCTGCCTGCATGGCCTATACATTGCTTCTTTTCCTTCCTTCCATCCTCTCCTTTACAATACATCGTTCAAAAAAAAATCATGTTTTTCACAATTAGTCGGGTGCAATAATAACAGAACGTAAAAAAATAAGTTTGCTCTACCAGAGAAACTGCAAGCTCTTAATTCATAGTAGCAACATTGAGACAAAACACGGAGAGTTGTGTGAAAAGAAAAGAAATAAAAATTCTTTCTTTTGGTTGACAATAAAATATTTTTCTTGTTCTATTTTCTTTTCTACTTCACAATTGAGCTAATAAAAGTGACGAAACTGAAAAGAGTGTTGTTGTGCTGAACAAGGTAACACGGCGTTTTCTGAAAACTGAAATAACATAGTGAACTTCATGCATAGATAGAACGAAACCGACTAATTGGAAAACCATTTAGCATTCGATAACATGCAAGCATTGCAAGTTAGAAAGTACGCGTGCAAGAGAACTATTTAATATTCATAAAATAGGTAAATATTTGCTGCTAACAGCTGTACAATGGAATCTGCGAGTTCAAAATTGTCTACCATGCCGATTAGTGGTCCGATCAGCACGGTAACGAAAGCAACACGTGTCAACGATAATCAGACCAATGAACTATTAACACAGTGCTCCTTTGCGAGGGACATTGCTTATATAAGAGACCATGACATTTCATCAAATCGGTCACGATCTGACATCATGAAGAATCTCATTCTAATTTGGGTGGATTCTAATATCAATGTAGTTGAAGAGGATATTCAAAACTCTATCATTCACTTTCGACGAATGGTCAATTCGGTAAAAATATTTACGGATTTGGATCATTGCGTTCGTTTTATCACTGACATCAAAGATAAACAGGTTTTCATGATAGTTTCGGATGATCTTTATCATCAAGTCGTTCCTTTCATCAAAGAGTTGATGCACCTCCATTTCATTTACATATTCTATAACAGCAAGTCGAAACATGAACAGTGGATCGAAAGATCCAAAAAAACGAAAGGAGTCTTTACTAGAATTGAAGCTATCTACCATGCACTCACACAAGATGTACGTCAATTGAATAGCTGTATGATACCAATCAGTATTATTACACCATCTTCTACAACTGATTTAAACGAACTTGATCAATCTTTCATGTACTCACAATTACTGAAAGAGATCATTCTCGACATGCCATATGATCACACTGCTCTGAAGAAATTTGTCGACTTCTGCCGAACTCATTATGTGAAGAATGACCAAGAGTTACAAAAGTTGGAGCAATTCGAACAACAGTATGATCAGTTATCGTCCATTTGGTGGTATACTCGAGAATATTTTATTTATGCAGTGCTCAATAACGCACTCAGAATTCAAGATACTGCGGTTATCCTTGATATGGGCTTTTTCCTTCGTGATCTGCATCGACAAATTGAACAGCTTTACTCGCAAGCAGATAATTACAATTCCCTAACTGTTTACCGTGGACAAGGTATGTCATATCCTGAATTTGAGAAGTTGAAGAAAAGCAAAGGTGGTCTTCTGTCATTCAACAATTTCTTGTCGACAAGCACTGACTATCGAGTGTCTTATCTCTTTGCGGACAGTGCTCGAGAGAATCCTAATGTAATAGGAATCTTATTTCAAATAGAAATCGATCCATTGATTAGAACGACTCCATTTGCCTTTTTAGACGGCATTAGTTACTTTGAGGAAAAAGAGCTTCTCTTCTCAATGCATACCGTCTTTCGAATCGGTGACATTGAACCGATTGAAGATCGATTATGGCAGGTCAATCTGATGTTGACAGCTGACAATGATCAACAACTAACACATCTTATCGAACACATCAGACAGGAACTTCAAGGAGCGACGGGTTTGCATCGAATAGGTCATTTACTGATCAAGATGGGCGAGCTAGACCAAGCTGAAAATATTTTTAAAACACTACTGCAAATACAATCGGACGATGATTCCGACGGACTCTTGCTTCTCAATCAGCAACTTGGACAGATTAATTTTCTCAAAGGCAATCATCTCGGTGCGCTATCAAACTTTGAGAAGACGCTTGCAATAAGACACAAATCTCTTCTGCCCAATCATCCTGACCTGACTATAAGCTACAACGACATTGCTGTAGCGTATTATTCAATGGGAGAGTATTCGAGGGCACTCTCATACTATCAAAAAGCACTTGAAATAAAGCAAAAATCTCTCTCAGCCAATGATACAGTCCACGCTACTACCTACCACAACATTGCCGTGGTGCATCGCTCCATGGGAGAATATTTAAAGGCGCTCTCATACTATGAGAAAGCGCTTGAAATGAGACAGAAATTACTTCCATCTAATCATCCAGATCTGGCTACTACCTACAATGGTATTGCTTTGCTGCATGAGTCAATGGGAGAATATTCTAAGGCACTCTCATATTATGAAAAGACTCTTGAAATGAAGCATAAATCTCTTCCACCCAATCATCCAGACCAGGCTACCGCCTACCACAACATTGCTACGGTGTATCGGTCAATGGGAGAATATTTGAAAGCACTCTCATACTGTGAGAAAGTAATTGAAATTAGACAGCAATCACTTCCATCCAATCATCAAGATCTAGCGCTCGCCTACCACAACATTGGCATAGTGCATCGAGGAATGGGAGAATATTCGAAGGCACTGTCATTTTATGAAAAGACGCTTCATATTCAGCAGATATCGCTTTCATTCAATCATCCACACTTGGCGCTCACCTACTACAGCATTGCTCAGCTGCATCAGTCAATGGGAGAATATTCGAAGGCACTCTCATTTTATGAAAAGTCACTTCAAATTCAGCAAATATCGCTTCCACTCAATCATCCAGACCTAGCGATCATCTATGGTGGTATTGCTTCTGTGCATCATTCAATAGGAGAATATCGGACAGCGCTCTCATTTTATGAAAAGACACTTCAAATTCAGCAGATATCTCTCCCACCCAATCACCCAAATCAGGCTACTGTCTACCACAACATTGGCGTGATGCATCAGGCAATGGGAGAGTGTTCGAAAGCGCTCTCATACTTTCAGAAGTCACTGGAAATAAAACAGCAATCTCTTTCACCCAATCATCCACATTTCGCTGCTACTTACAACAGTATTGCTTTAATGCATTATTCAATGGGAGAGTATTCAAAAGCCCTAACACAGTATGAGAAGACACTTGAAAACTTGTCAAAGTCTCTCCCATATAACCATCCACATTGGGCTACCACCTACAGTAATATTGCTCAGCTGTATCAGTCAATGGAAGAATATTCAACGGCACTCTCATACTATGAGAAAGCACTTGAAATCAGACAGCAATCACTTCCATCCAATCATCCAGACCTGATTACTACCTACAATGATATTGCTTCTGTGCATCGATCAATGAGAGAATACTCGAAAGCGCTCTCATTTTATGAGAAGATGCTTCAAACTCAGCAGATATCACTCCCACCGAATCATCCGCACCTTACTATTACTTACGAAAACATTGCTTCCGTCCATCGATCAATTGGACAGTAAACCTACTACAATACAGATATTTCATTTTGGAAGGAGGTGGCATCAATGGATTTTTATGATTGTTTGAAATGGGGATGCTAAATTAACC